GGCCCCCAACCTTACCAAAGCTGGCAAAAATAGAAAGAACAAGTTTTCAATGAACTACGTAGTCCGATCTAAAACGAAGATCTTCGTTCCGTTCAGAGGTTCCATTCCTACTCAGAAATATCTCTAAATGGAACTTTTTTTCACTCATCAAATATACCGTTTTCAACATTACATTCAATGCTAGTGTAGTAAAACACTATTTTCTGCGTTAATAGAGAAATACATTGATAACTTTTCCGTCATCTTTTAAATGTTTTTATTTTATTGGGTAGATATCAGTAACACGATAAAAACAGTTAATTATAAAGTTACATTCGTGTTAGCAATTCCTATTAATGAACACCTGGTAGGAAATTTATACCAATCTCGAAGCTCGTATAAGAATACGAAATCTCGTATAAGGTTATCCAAAATAGTTGTTTACAATTGACCCTTCATGACGCCTCAATGAATATCCGATTCGTTGAATTGATTCTGGCTTCCATATCTGATTTTTTCATTTTATATTGATCATTGCAGCGTTATCATGACACGTGAATCTTGACAGCTTATAAACCCTCGTCTTCTAACGAAACACCTGATCAACAAAGATGATAGAATCTCCATAAAAGAGGCACCGGAAGAAAATTTACAAATAATGAATGTTAAATTAACTTGCGGTGAAGTATGTTGAATCTGTAGCCTGCTTTACTGCTTTCTAAGCTCCAGTTGGTGTTCAAGCCCCACGAGACGCCTAGATTTTTCGTCATATAATTATCCCTTCCCACGTTGAGGTGCCAAGCTGGCCGGTTCGGGATACTCCAGAACGGAATTCTCTTGATTTACTTGATTTATTTTCAGTAATAAAACAGCAGTAATAAAATATTGGCGAAGTAAGGGGGTGAAGTACAATTACCGCACGTTTTCACGAGCTTCAGAATCTCTTCCCCACCATTTGACCATAAATAGTTAAATGATGAATAAAAGTACCAACAAAGCGTAAATTTTCCATAAATGTCCACCCTAAATTTTCAAAAAAAATCACGTTTTTGTGATGAAAAATGTATTTTTTCATTTCTAACGAAATACATAAGTAATAATTGAATACTTACGATACAAACAAGATATTATATGCAAAATTATGACTGTCAGTTTAATACATAAACTAATTTTCATAAAAAATCTCCATTCACATGTATATCTTTAATACTTTGTCAGGCCACCTGTGGCGGCTATTAGAGCTTTAATTCTTTTTGGCATGCTATTAATGCATGCCTGGACTGTTTCTTGCAACTTTGGATGATGGCACCAGACTTGAATTATTTTCTCAAGGAGGCGAATTTTTGTTGTTATTTCTTCCTCTGCGATTTCCCTCTTCATGAGCTCCCAAACATTTTCTATTGGGTTCATCTGGTGAATTTCCTGGCCATGATAACACAAGAACATTTTTCTCCAACAAAAATGATCGAACTGTTCGAGCAGTATGACATGGAGCCCCATCTTGAATAAAAACAAATGATTCTTCATTTGTGAACCATTCCAGTAGTTGAGGCAGCAGTCGTTTCTCCAATATCATTTCTCCAAATCTCCACGCTTGTTCTGGTCTTGTTTCATGATGTCCTTAACCAAGTATTGACGCCCCGTGCTTATGCCACTGATCACTGACCAAATCATTGCCTTTACTGGATGTTTCACAGTCTGGATGACACAATCTGAATGATACTTTTCACCAGGGCGCCTTCTCACAAATTGATGTTTGCTAGAATTTCGAAAGTGCATTCGTCGCTAAAACAAACCTGAAATACAAGTAAATGACATTAGAATTAATTTTGGTAGCCATTTATAATTATAAAAAAAGCACTATACTAAATTTTTTACTGATTTTCAGAAGTCCAAATATTTATTCTTAAGGTTCTTAGCCCATGCAAGACGTTTTTCTTTCGTACCAGCTGTTAATCTGGGTTTGTAGGCTGGTCTACAAGCTTTAAAATTCATTTGTAGTAGTGTACGCCTTACTGTCCTTTCAGATTCCACTACTTTCCAATTTAAATTTAATTTGTTTAATAGTAGCAAACCGGTTTTCATGGCAGATCTTTCTCAAACATCTCTCAGATCGTGGTGAAAATTTCTCTTCCGTACACATGTGTTCTTCCTTCGGGGGGATAATTCTTCACCAAGGACAATTTTTTTCTTAATTCGCCGAATAGATATCTCGGATACGTTAACCTTCGAGATCTCACGATTTGAAATATTTTCGTTTTGTGTAGGCAAGACTTTACTGCTGAATCTTCCGAGGAGACAAATCATTGCCTTTCCCATTATTTTTATTCAAACTATCAGTTTCGTACACACAATTACCAATTATTTAATAAAACGGCTATAAACTATATCAGAACTAATAATGGAAAATGAACTTATCTTATTGCACATATCAGCACTCAGCTCAGTCACTCTTGTTCTACTCAACTCTTGTAATTTTGATGCATCTAAGCACACTGAGGTGTCACAACAATGGTAATAATGACAAAAGTAAATGTGTAATTATTACAAAAGAAGGCTTTGTATTTGATCATTTTTTGTCATTGATTGATTCGCAACAATGCCAGATGTATATGACTGCAGTGAGAGACTTCAAAACTAACAGTTTATTAAAAATTTGAGTGCTTGTCTAATAATATGGCAGAGACACAACACCTCTCTCTCTCTCTCTCTCTCTCTTCTTCTTCTCTCTCTCTCGCTCTCTCTCTCTTCTCATGAAACCTCTACTCTCGTCTCTGCTACTATATATATTATATATATGCTATATTATATATATGTATATATTACTAGATAAGAGAGAGAGAGAGAGAGAGAGAGGAGAGAGAGAGTGAGAGAGTTGTATCTCTGGACACCTGTAACACACACACACACACACAGGTCGCTGGTGCTTCAAACTTTGATTCCGACAGAATTAAAGCTTAGACAAAGAAGCTCATTTCAAGTTTTTGAAATAGGCAATAGAAATAGCCAAGAAAATTGTACTATTTGCAATCATGTCACAATCATTAGACAAAGATAGACATGCAGTTCCAAGAATTCAACAAAGTATGGTCCAAAAACAAAATATGTCAGCAGATCAACAAATGAAAAAGGCTTTGAAAATATCCACTATGTAAAAAAAAATCTTTTTTTTTTTTTTTTTTTCTTGCAAAGCTGAAGAATATCAGGTGCTCGAACTCGAAGATACAGTATTGACACCAGTATCGAGGATGATTGGTACTGTTAAATTTTTTTTTTAAATCTGGTTTCATGAAGGCAAGTATTAATTTTCCCATTTGTGCTTATATGTACTCGAGTGAAACGAGTTGTAATACAGTATCAACACATTGTCCTAGAACTACAGGCCAAATGTTTCAGGTAAATTTGAAAAAGCAGAGATTGATATTCACTTGTTATATTAAATTTTAACAGGAAATGTATCAGATGAATCTTTTCAGTGATGAAGCCGATGTTGAGGACGATTGGGTGCCACAAGTTGAAATTATGTAAAAAAAACCCATATTGACAAAGGTAAAGATCAAACAAAAAAGCTATTTATAGGAACCCATCTGATGAAAATGCCAACTCGTGGCTCAGAGCGAAAGTCACTTGCCTTTCACTTATGAGATCAGGGTTCAATTCCCCGGCAATCTCATATGATAATTGCTCCAACAAAACGAGCTTGAGATCACCAAAGATCCCATGAGAACTACATGTGTTAAATGAATTAATTCATAATGACCACCTAGTAGTGTACCTGAATTCAACTAAAGGTTGTTATGTGAATGATTGCTCAAAGATTTGTAGGTCTCGAGACTTTTGAGTCTTGATGTACTTATTTTGTAATGTTTAAGTCTTGTTTCTGATCACCTTTGCAGCAGGTGTTGAATACTTTTAACCCATTTTATATTTTTTAACTTTAATAAAATACATCCTTAAAACTGCCTTTGCAAAGTTGTGCAAGGATATGGTAATATTATTTCTTTTTCTTTAACAAAATATTATAAACTATTGTAGTACAAACTGTTAAGAAATAAACCGTAGCATTGTATTTTCATGTTCTACTCCCTTTTTTATCCTTTGTGAATCTAACTTTCTCACAAACTAATTTTTGTATAAAATAAAGAATTCTAGATTTAAATAATTGTTGATGAAACTGTTCCAGGAAGGCAACTGATGAAACGTAAGTGATTAGCATTAAGATCTATTACCCAGAATCAAGAAATACAGGAAAAAGGATATTGTGTAGTATAACATTCTGCAAGTGATTGAATATGAAATTTCTCCTTTAGACTGTTGTAATAATTTATTTTTCTTTTACATGGGCATTGCTAGCAAATTGTTCCCTCTTCTGAAATAAACTATATTTTAGTTGGTAATATTTTTACAAGATCCTTCAGAATGAATAAAATAAGTAATCCTTCTTTACTCACCTCCTTTCTCTTCAAAATAAATACATTTCTAATTTTTTTCAAATACTAATACTTATCTTTTGTAAAATACCAAAAAGGTGATTAATAAATTCCTATCAGACAGACTGTAAATCATTTTGGTTCACGAATGCTGTCAGGAGTATACTTGAAACTGATAAAAACGACATCTAGATGAAGATTTACTTTATTATCATGGTAGACCTCATGAAGAAATTGTGCTCACTGATAATTATTCTTTCACAAAGTACACTTTATTTTTCTACTGATGGATAGCCCTTAGTAATCATTTTGAATTGGATATGTGTATCTTTATGCACACATAAAAAACATTACCTAGATGTTTAATTCACAATATATGTATGATGTTTAATTCACAATATGGATAACAATATACATTTGTTTGTTTAATAAATGTAGTAGCAATTACAGAAACTTATAATGACAAATTAATGATGTCATAATTTAGTGCTCAAAACAAATGCAATATAATGTTTTTAATGTTTATGTAGATGTATTTTTTATAACAAGAAATACTAGACCTTATGCTGCCGACCTGGGTAGTTTAGACCACTAATGGGGATGTGCCTTTGTGGTCTCATTTTGAATACCATCTTGAGTATGCATGTTTGCTGGTGTGCTGCTACAAGGTGGGGGTTGTCCCAACCACCTTTCAACCCTCTTGCTTCCATCCTGACCAGCCTGCATGGTGCAAGAGCTTGGTGCAGGAGCTATCCAAGAACACAAAATCTGGATTGTGGCTTTGAATTCCTCATAAGGTATGGATGGTGTGGTGAGTATTCCTAGGACATCACACTCCAACCTAACACCTAACTTACTTCCCTTCCCCCATAAGTTGTGCGAGCATGGTTAAGATGAAGTGCATAATGTATGAGTCACTGTCCACACATCTATGTAGGTTTGACCTGCCTCCCTTTCTCTAATACAGGACTATGTGTTATGAGCCCTTGGTCACTTGATGGCAGTTGCACTTGAAGGAAACAGTCTCAGCTAAGTTGATTGTTTGTGAATACTTTCCTTCCTCTGTCCTGGAAAGTCATGAGGAGGAGGATAAGACCAGGTGTGCAACGTAAGGACTTACGGACTGCAGCATCAGTGCCATCTAGATGTAGCCTGGCTTCCTCTAATACAGCACAAATCACAATGAGCTGAACTTGTTGTACAACACATACAGTGATAGAGATGGCCTCTTGACTCGAGAAGTGAGCAAGATAGGTAAGAAGTTGGCTGCATCTGAAGTAAATCAAGTCTCAGCCAGAGGAGACTGATGCAAAGACATATAGCAGGAATTCATTGGTATCAAGTGTAAAATTCATTCACAATACAAACTGAGGCAAAAACATTGGTTTGAAAGTGAAGAAAAGCATGAGTAAATACAGACTCATGACTAAATAAAATTTGTTATCAAAACCAACTCATTTCATTATTTCCCACAATTCACATTTTTGCATTTTTGTTAATTTAAGAAAATCCTTCAAAATCTCCTGCAATGTTATAGTTCAAATCCAGATTATTCTTACTGAGAACACACTTGCAGACATGAGAAGATGTTTGTTTCCTCTATGAAATCCGTGTGCTGGTTTTGATAGCAAATGTCTCAAATAGAGTAATTGTAGTACGTTGCAAACAGAGTGGTTTTAATTAATTCACTGTATAAGTGCCCTTATTATGCCCTGCAAATATTTAACTAAACAAAGAAATTAAAAAGATAATACTGTCAGGAAATTGGTTTCATGGCATCCTCCCAAGTTCTCAAGAGCAAGAAAGATTTCCAAAACTGGTAAAATGTAGTGTACTACAATACCATAAACTGGTAGGTATGGTAGTGAATACTGGATACTCACTAATGAGACAGAAACATCTCTTCAGATGTAGGAAAGGATATTTTAAGAGGAATTTATAGCTCTGAAAAGAAAACGATTTATGGAGAAAAAGAAATAATAGGTACTGAATTAGAAAATATACTTAAAGACTCCTAATATTAAATCTGCATAATACCTGAAGATTGGAATGGATGAGGCATGTTTTACGACTGGATGAAAGGTGGGGAGTCAGAAGTTATATGTGAGGAGCATGGTGTGAAAGAAATGCAGAGAATCACTACACCTAAAATTAACTTGGGAAGTTGATAATATAAGGATCCTGGGAACATGACAATAAAGACCTCAAGATAGAAATGGCTGAGCTCTCATTATAAATGAAGTCAAGGCAAAACTCTGTTGTAGTGTAGTTTGAATATGAAGAATTTTTTTAATGACTATTTTTGAAAAGTCGTAAACAAATCTAAAGAGAAACGGGTACTACTGTTGAACACTAAATATGAAAAATGTAAATATTTGCAACATTTATGTTAACTTATATCAATTTTAAGACAGCAGGTATTCAAAACTATACTATATAAATCAACCCAAAATTGTGAATTAATACAAATGTTCAATAAGAAAATGTGGATATTATTATCATCATCATCATCATCATAAACTAACCAGAAATTAAGTTTTACAACCTGTTTCTATTCGTTTACTCCAGTATTCTTAATAGGTTTTGTGGTCTTTCTATATCTGTTATCCCTTTTGGTTTGTACTTTCTGATCAGTTTTAGAAGTCTGTTGTTGTTCATTCTCATTAAGTGTTTCCTTTGAGAATGTTCTATTTCTTGTACTGTATCTTTTGTCTTCAATTTCTTTCAAATATCCTCAGTTTATCTTGTGATTTCCAGGAGGTGCCTTAAGAATCTCATGCCTCATTAAGAATCTCGTGCCTCAAGAATGTGATGCCTGTAGTTTTTGCTTGTCCTTTTTTATTATCCATGTTTTAGAGCTACATGTGATTCTGGATTTAACCATTACATTGTAAAGTTTCAACTTTGTTTCTGTGTCCAAGTATCTGATGAAGTGACTCTTAATTGTTATTCAAATTCTATTGCAGTTATTTAGTTTCTTTTCTATGTCCTCCAAAGTTTGGTTGAACACACTTATGATATTTCCAAGACACAAGAACATATTTACTTGTCAAACTAATTTTCCATTAATTACAATATTGGCTCTTCTTTGTTCATTGGGCTGCTTTGTTACTTGGGCCACTTTTTTCAATTCAAAAAGTTTCCTTTGCACACTCTCTTTGGAATCCATTATGATAGTTTGATCAGCAGTATACAAGATTGTTTCCATCTTTTTGTCTTTTCTGATCTGTATTCCCTGGTTAAGTTTCCTGCTCCAGATTTTAACTAGATTAAACACCTAATGTATTTGTTGAAGAGCATGGCTGTTAATCCACATTCGTGCCTTAAGCCACTACTGCCTGTTATTTCTGCACTTTCATACTTCTCTTCATAATATTTTATGGATGTAATAATTATTATTAATTGCAGAATGATTCAAAATAATAAGTAATTAAATAAAGTGAGTGTATGTATTGTTTATATTGAAAAGTTCTGTATGAAACATTCAAAATTGTAATGCATTATAAAAAATATTATAATTTCAAAAAGTAAAATTTCTGGGAGGGGAATGTTAGATACTGAAACAAAGAAAATTCATCTATTTTTGCTCAAAATGCAAGCTACCTTTCAGCCATCATTAATTATTAAATATTTTAATGAGAGCACAAAAAGGAAATACGGCAAGTGTTCTCCAGAATGGATGCAATTATTTTGAGACAAAAGATGGAAGAATGTACAAATTGAAGGACTGAGTAACAAGATTCACAAAGTAAATATTTCACAACAAATTGTGTACCATAAAACAATACCAAAAACCAACCCTGCAGTGCATTTGTGAATGGTGTAGGATTCCATTTGTAAGGTCCCATACCCTGCAGCGTGTCCAGGGTAATTTTGCTGACTAAACTTAACACAGAATAAAATAATACAGATTATAAACTTTTAGAGGTTTCAGGAAGTGAAGAATGTGACAGCTATGACAATGACAAACATCTGAAACTACAAATATCCAGTGCTGTTATTTATTCTTTCAAATGCAAATGTCTTCACCTGAATGCACATTGTGCACCTTTCTGTATTTATTAAAATGTAAAATTCTATGATCCATTGAATAGGCCTATGTAAAATATATTTTCAATTAAATAAGACTTTTAAAAATGTTTTAAATTGACCAAACTTTTGTTCATGTTGGGTGACCTCTCGTACGATCTGACTCTTAGCTCTTCATCTTCTTGTCACACCACTGCAAGAAATAAACTTTTTTCTCTGTATCAGAGCAGTGGCTGAAATCTTTTGCAAGAAATTCCATATCAATGAGGAAAGGAAGTGACAAGGGAAAATATGTTGACATGCTCAATGATCTGAATGATAAGTAAGAGTAAAAATGAAATGCAATGGCACTTGGTGCATGATATTTATTTGTGAATTTGTTCAACATTCTATCTCAGTCCATTCTACAGAGAAATTTAACATTTGTGTTCTCAAGCACGCTTATTAAATGTTTTAAGAGAGAATGTCACTCCCACCAGTGTAAATAAGTAATGCAAATGAAATTAACGCTCTTTACAAGAACCAAACTACTCCAAATTCGAGATTTTTCAGGAGGCACAAAAAATTTCATACAATGGAAGTGCATAGTGATAAATTGATGATATGTTGTTTTATATCCTGCATGTGTTTGGGAATAGTGTTTTAGTAAAAAAATAGTCTGGTACTCAATTTACAAATAAAGAAGAGTATTTTGGACTTGATTGGTTTTTGCGAAATTAATGTTTGAAACCTTTATTTTTTGAACAAAAAATGTTTATAGGCATTGGCTTTTGATTTTTATGTGTGTTTTGTTTACCTCTGCTCTGGTGAGATTATTCAAAGTTTCGTTCTTCTCATTTGGTTTATTTCATCTAGGCCACTGAGTATCTGAGTCTTTAATATCTGTGCCTTCAATATTAGATTACTACTATTTAGTAGATTCACAGCATATAAAATCCTGGACTTGTTTGGTTCTTGGAAAAACTTAATGGACTAGAATGACTTGTAGAAAAACCTATTTTCCGTGCCTTATATCTGTCAATGTGTTTTAACCTTGAAAAACCTTGCCAAAACAAAATGTCCCAGCAAAAAATGCCAGTTGTAGGGAATAACTAGGTGAAATATCACAAAATTTGAAATTTTGGACTCCATTCTTTCATAATGAACAATTCAACACTGCAGCCAATGACATTGATACTTAGAGGAACAAGAAGTGTAAATCCCAACTTCCACTCAAAATTAAATTAGGGGCAATGCGGAGATGGAGAGGAGAGGAAAAAAAGAAAGAAGAAAAGGAAGAAGCAGAAGGATAAGAACAATAAGAACATTAAGTATAAGAGTCCAAGTAAAAGATCATGCACAATTCGGTACTTTGATTTTTGATCAAATTGTGAATACAGTGACAATAGTGATAAGATATATTATAGAACATATATTTGAATGCAATCTTTACATTTTATTCAATTTAAATGTACCTCGAAAGTGATGAAAATTCCATATTTTTTTATGTATCATGGCATACATGCAATAACATTTATCAGTGTTTAATATTTCTGAACAGTTCTAAGAGAACTATTCAAGTTTTAAAACAATACAAAATTGACCAAATAACAAGAAGGTGCTGAAATACTATACTCCATTGTTACCTGGCAATTTCTACACTGTTCTCAGAGTTAAACCATTTTTATATCAAGTGCATCCCAAAAATTATTAGGGAGAAAAAAATAATAATTCAAGAGAAAAAAATTATATTTATTCAAATGTCTACATGAACTGTTTTACACAAATTATCATTTTTTGCACAATTAAATCTACAATAAGGTAAACATACAAATAAAGTCATAGGGTATACAACATGAGTATATTCAAATCTTTGGCATAAGGCAACAAGAGAATATCAGTACCAATATGTAAGTGGATGTTTCTCATTCTCAGAAATGCATTGTACAACTCTATGACATTGTAACTCCTTTGCTTATCTGAATTACAACATTCACATAAATATTAATTTATACATTTAAGTGCACATTAAGTATAAAGACAATGACTAAAATGTGCAATAATACACATTTATTCACAACAGGAAACAGGAAGCTATGAATAATTAACAAAACACCACACATTTAAGATGCTTTTGTAATAATTCTGAAAATATACAAATCAATACCCTCCTCAAAAGACATCTTTATGTGAAAAGGCACAATGAGTACAAGAATTATATAAATGCACATGGCCCCATAAATGCCAAATAAATGGCAATGTTTCTTTTTCTTTTTTGGAATGCCTAAGCAAGACTTTTGATTTTAATGAACTCTTCGTAGACAACAGTAAACACATAAGTTACCATGGAAGATATGACAGGAAGCCAAAAGTGGTGTAAACAAGTGGAATGAAGCTTACCACAAGCAAATAAGAGAGCGGCCTTGCTGTATTTGGAACTCAACCTGTATTTAGAGCAAAAAAAGCATCAATGGTCAAATATTCAATCATGACGGAGATAAATTGTATTCTAAAAGTCTTTACAGTCATAATTCATACCTTGTCACTAGATGTTGCAATATCAGCTTGCATTGACAGAAGTGCACAAAGCAGAGTCAGACCCATGCTGCCAACAGCTGCATATAGGCCCCAGCCTGCAATGAAATTGGAAAAAAAGAAAAGTTAATTCTAAATTAATAATGACCTTAATAATTAGCAATAATTTTATATAGTACATTAAATGGAAGATCAGAATGATAACATGGAATAGGCAATGCATAGTAAACATTTTTTTTTTAATTGTAGGCATAGTGTATTCTGATTATTTGGTGTTGGTTGACAGTATATTTTTTTCCATCAAATTCTTATTCAAATATATATTTTATTTAAATGTATATTTCAATATTTTTCATCTATAAAGTATGTAACAAAGTAAAGCAGGTTTGTTGGAAGAATCGAAATGTGACAGTCCACAGTTTTTGACCAAGTGTTTATACCAATTCCTGTCTCATATACTAGCAAACCATGCATTTTTTGTACAGATTGTGTCCATTAAAACCTTAATATGGAAACTTCATTCATAACAGTAAAACTAATCATTTTAAAACTAAATTGCATATTTCATTTGTTTTAATCTGAAGATACTGAATGAAAAATCAATAAAATTTTCAACTGACTATTATCACTATTCCTTCTTTTAATACAAGATTAATTATAACTAACTTTCACAAAGATCTTGAAAATTATGGGAATGTTTCCATTTATTATATTGAGTGGGAAAGCACATACAAGATGTAAAATATGAACCTAGTTGCAACAAAATATTCAACAATTTCCTTGGTACAAGTTATGCTTTTATTGTTTGCCGGCAGCAGTTATTCCTTAACAAATTCAATGCCTATGAGTGGGATCTGTTTCACCCAGGGGTCAAATTGTGATACGGTAATCTATGCACAATATAAGTCATTTACTCTGAAAATTTTGGCACTCTTAAAATATGCAGCAATATGCAGACCACAATTAAGGTATGTTTTGTATTTCACACCAAGGGAATATGAGCTGACATCACTAGTCACTTGGCGTAATAAAATAGAATTGCTGCAATGTCTATACACTCTGAATCCACTGGTGGCCTCATGATCCCCCAGAAGAGTCTTAGCTGAGGCTGGCAGTGGTCTTGTGGCACTCAATGTTTTAAATATTAATTTTTTGAAGTGTTAAAAGTGGATTAAGTCTTTCTAAAACCCTGATCCTTGAGAACTGTTAAGATCATTAGCAACATTGGATTCGGAATGTCAATAAAGTACTAATCAAGAAAAGAAATAAGCAGATAGATGGACACACAAGGATGTTGATCATTCTTCCAGATGAACAATGAATCTGATCGTTCTTTCATAGGGTAAAATGTTCTTCAAACCAAAATTTCATGAGCAGTGTTCACTTTTCCACTGTGTTTAGTTTACAGGTTGGCAGTTAATGCTTTGTACTACAAGATGGCACAAAAATTAAAAACAGTCCAAAGATCGACTTAGATCTTTTTCCCTTGTAGCATTCACTTGCAAAAACTACTGGAGCTAAAACAGCACATACTTTCTCGCCTTTATTAATAATTATGTAATACAATTTATATCACAATTTCCGAATTAACACATCTCAGTCATGCGTTTTTTGTAAAACTCTTTACAAATCATACAACATGAGGCGAAAAAACTAAATATTTTGAAGCAAATATCAAAACAAATTTGACAATTATATCTGCTTTTCGAACAGCCATATCAAATCCCAATAATGAACACAGAAATTCTGCTGTCGATTCGTGGCGCCGAATGTCATTGTGCATTCCAATCTGATATTCCCTGAGAGCTAGCAATTTTTATTTCATATATTTCAATTAGGTTTTAAAGACTTTCGAAAAGATGAATGTGTAAATGTATAACAAAAGGTCGAATATAAGAAGAAATATGAAATAATATACAAATTCTAACTTTCGAAGCATCCAAATGCCGGGAATTACGCTCACAAAGCGCAGTAAATTCGGAGCTGGCGATTATGTTTGTCGCCAAATTACACAAAAAAATACTCATATATACAAAAAATTAAGCATGTTCTTATTTGAAGATCTGTTTTTAATAAACACGTTTCATTAACAAAAATGTATCTTTACAATTGTCTCAAACATCTTTCACGCTATCTAACAACAAAGTGTAACCAAGAACGATGGAGTCATTTTTTTTTAAATTCTGAAAATATCCCAGGGGCTTCATGTTAAGTACCCCAACAATGTAAAATATCGGTTTAAAAGTCAAGGGGGGGGCGTGACATCAGCCAGATCGATTGTGGAATATCAATTTTGGAGAAAATGGGCTGAACGGTTTAGCCGCTAGCGTTGTTCACTAGACATACGGACGGACGGACGTTTTGCCGTCAATCGATTTTTCGGTATCAAGGACCCCAAAACATGGATTCTGGCTACACTACATATCAAAGCATTTTTTCTCTAAATTTAGCATGTGGATTTATCCCACATTTTCGTTGCCAGGGACCTGTAATAAGTTTTTATGCCGAAAATTCACCGTTTTTTTCGCGCAGCATTACATTGCTTCCTCTCTACCGCGGTAGTAAGAAAGTAGAAAACAAAGAAAAGAGTTGGACTGGCCACTAAGGCAAAATTGGTGAATGAAGAAAGAGACACGCAATAAAGAGAAGAAATGTATTAGTAGAGTGAAACTCCGTTTGTAGGTTTCGCACTTATACATTTTTCACGTCTCATGTTTTCTGTAAGTCACTGGTACATTCCTACACTTCGCGTGCTAAATTGTTTCAAATGGGCGTTTTACGTTTCTACGTTCATAATGAAACCCCCTTTAAGGGCGTATAACGTCCAAATGATATAAGTGAGAACTTTTCGTAGAAGAGCCTTCGGGATTTTTGAGTAGAATTCTGTATTCAGGTAGTTTAATTTCGTCTCTACGCAGGGCGTTTCAACTCTCCATTTTTAATTTTTGGACAAAACTACAGGATGGAAAATGGGGCGCTAGAAACGTCCGGTGCTGTTTGCATAACGTTCACAAACATTGCACAATAAAAATCCGACGCATTTAAACGAAATCCCGAAAAAATCTCGTGAGAATCAAATTCTTATGTACCCTAACAAACGGGCCCCGGACCGCGGGCGATCTTCTCCTCTCGTATCCTTATACACACCAACACCGGGAGATCGGTCGGGAGCAAACAGCTTGTTCCGACTGGGGTGGTGCCCAGCTGGTGACACCGGCACTGGATCTCATCACCAAATAGGGGAAGATCACCGCCGCTTCCCAAGGAAAAACATGTACTACACTAATCGGACTAATGACAGAAGCTGACGCGCCCACTAAAATCACTAATTAACAAATCAATCAATCTAAATGATTGCTAAAAGTTGTTTATTCATGAAAGGTATTATTTCTGTCTATACAAGAATAAGTTGCCAAATAGAAACACTTCTAGTTCATGCCAAAGTACTCTGTGAAATTAAATGATTACTGTAGTTATAACTCTTTTGGATTAATTCTATTAAATTGAAGAATTTACATACATATAGCAACTAATTTGAATATAAACAATACCTAAACCTATATTAACTGATTAAACACATGAGAAAATTATATTGTTTATGTCTAATAAAACAAGGAAAAATAAAACATTTTTTTCAAATAAATTATTTACATATGTATGTGCAATCATATATTCCTTTAAATCATTAACAACCTGTCTTTTGGAAGGGTGTAATAAAGAGGTATAATAATTTATGCACAATCATAAATATATGAAAATCAATTAAGCAAATTTATATCAATAATTATGCTTACTTTCAGAATATTTATGCTAATTAACTTCACATTCTACCTATCTTCATACTCGTGGAATTATATCAAGGTCAAATGAAAAACAACACTTAATTTATATTCTCCAAAACATTTTAAAACTCAATACATTTATGTTAACACTTTTGCAAAAAAACCTTCTCTTTCAAAGAGAATCAACGACAGGAATATATGCAAGCATACACTTTTAATGTTATGAATATGTAATGAAAAATAAACATGATTTTGACTGAAGTAAAATTATTTAATAATGATAAAAATATATATTACCAATAGAACATTCTGCTGGGTAGAATGGAGCTGCTTCATCGCCACAAAGTTTTTGAGCACGAGGGGAGCCCCACCCACCAGGATACAGAACAAAGCCCAAAATGTATAAGATAGCTGAAAATAACAAAAGTAACATTATAAATTTCAAAATCAAGAAGTGTTTACACACAAAATATTAATATTACTTTCATAAAACAAAACAAACAAAAAATATATTTAAATTTTATCTACACACCAGGATATATAAAAAATTATATTTAGATTCTTACAAATTTTATATTGAAATTTATTAGAAATATAAAGAATAAATATTATATTAACCTATTGGGTGGCAAATTTTCTAGTTCACTACATTGATGATGACAGATATTTAGAAGTATATTTTGCTGTTGTTTTATTTTCTAATTTTTTATTTCAGTATCTATGGCCATAATGTAATTGGTCATCATCTGGGGTTCTATCTGGTATAAGCCATTTAAAAGTTACAGGACAGAAGAAGAAGCAAGTTAAAAGAAAAAGAGACATTAATATTATACCACTCTACAATGTACAGCTTCAGATATTAATTCTTGGTTGTGATCTGTAATTTATCAATATAAAATTCCAAAGACTTTCCATGACTACATCAAATGTTAAACATGAAGGAAGTTTGCCATTAAGAATACATTTAAATCACTGAGTTGTTATTTAAAACAACACTAAGCAAACATGGGAGTTTAATCCTTAACAAAAGCGTATCATATAAGATAATACACTAATTGAAAGTATAAAACAGATCAAAACAATTTAATACATTTGAAAATAATCAGAAAAGACTTCAATTAACACAGAATTATTTGACATTATATTCCCAAAATACCCCTGCACTAAAAACTGTACAACACAAATACATCTTGGGCGGTGAAATGAATGATACTATTAAAAACTCTAATGCAGTTGACAGACAAGAGTCGAATTCACCATATAACACTCGCGTTCCTTAATAGCACTATCGACAATGCAGGAGAGTTAGTACACCAACCTCAACAACCATGGCAACAAGGTGCCAAGAAGTCAGTCACTGAGACAAGGTCGCAGACCACACTGTGGGCGTATGTACGAATCCCACTCCTGACACGTGGTTTCCTTGACATTACTATCGGGACCTAAAGAAAAAGTGTGGATACCAAACAGGTTATTTGCCTTGATATTACTACCGATACCCTGAAGAATAAGAATAAGATATGTCCATTCATACGCGCCAGGGTGGCCGAGTTGTCTAAGGCGTTGAGTTCAGGTTAGTCCACCCTGTGGGCGTGGTTTCGAATCCTGCTTCTGACACTCGTGTTCAGTGATATTACTATCGATAGACTGAACAAACACGAGATGGCTACCACCTATCGCACTATGCTTCTTTGGAGTTCTTCAAGATTAGCAGGCTTGTTTGCATAAATTTTACGTTTGAGGCATCCCCAACGATAAAAATATCGTCGAGTCAAATCAGGCGAACGTGGGGGCCACAAACCCCGTGAAATTATTCGGTTCCCACAAAACTCTTCGAGAAATAGTATTGTCGAATTGGCAGTATGTGATGTCGCTCCATCCTGGCTGGGCCCGTTAACACCGACATTGGACTGTCGATGACTGGAAATACATTGCCTGGTCTGACGAGTCTCGTTTCACATTGTTTCGAGCGGATGGTTGTGTACGAGTAGGCGAATGAAACCATGGACCCTGCATGTCAACAGGGTACTGTTCAAGCTGGTGGAGGCTCTGTGATGGTATGGGGTGTGTGCAATTGGATTGATATGGGATCCATGATAGGTCTAGATAAGAGTCTGACAGGTGACACGTACGTAGGCATCCTGTCTGATCATCTGCAACCATTCATATCCATTGTGAATCCTGTAGGACTTGGGCAAACCAGCAGGACAATGCGACAGCCCACACACCCAGAATTGGCTCCAGGAACAATTCTGAATTTAAACACATCCACTGGCCACCAAAATCCACAGATACGAACATTATTGAGCATATCTGGGATGTCTTGCAACGTGCTATTCAGAAGACGTCTCCATCCCCTCGTACTTTTACGAGTTTGTGGACAACCCTGCAAGATTTATGGTGTGAATTTCCTCCAGCACTACTTCAGACATTAGTCGAGTACATGCCCGTAATGTGCGCCACTTAATGCGTGCTCGCGGGGCCCTTCACGATATTAGGCAGATGTACCATGTACCCGTGTTTTTGGCTCCTCAATATATATATATATATATATATATATATATATATATATATATATATATAAAATCTTTTACATGCCAAACAGGACCGACTTTTACACGTGTAACTTCGTTATATGAGATCCCTCCAACTTCATTTATAAAAAGTTGTCATCACAAAATTCCTCCACCTGTTCTAGATATTTGTTACATTTATTCTCGAATACTAATTAAACCATCACCACATCGGATATCAGTATCCTCCGATTCCCACTTTTTGAATGTTTGATCTGAGTTCTTGTAGGGTTTGCTGCTGAAACGTCTTTCGCGCACCAAATCGTGTGTTCTGGACGCACACGCGTTTTTTGGGAATTTCTATCGCAGCGTCAATTTACAATTGACCAAGTGGCCGAATTATCTGCACCACTTGGAAGGTTAAAGTAACAAAAGAATGATTTCAAGACAACCCCGGTGATGTATCAGTCCAAGAAGTCGCAGCTATATCTATTATATCTCGCGCACGGGCAACCGAAGATTGCTTCTCGAATCGCTGGGTGAGGGTGGAGAGAGGGAGGCAGACCTCAACTCTATCTAGCCAGCTTCGCCAAATTACTAATCTGCGCTCCATGAAGTTACGGAAGTTAAGCAACAGGAATCGTGACACCACGGATTCCTGGACGGGTGATCGTCTGGGAAATCCAGTTTCTACGACGTCGAGTCCTTGGTCAAAGGGATAAAAGGCCTTTACCATCTGCGACGTGACGAGAAAAAAGTTAACAGAGGATTACTTCAAATTCGCTCAACTCCCAAGAAGGGCTAAGAGAAGAGAAGTGTTGCGAAGCCGCAACAAATTGAAAAAACGCCCTTTGACCTGGATGTAAGCAGAGGAAGATTGTGACAAATGCAGAATGTTTGTGCTACAACCAAAACGTTTTTTGCTATTTAAATATACAAAGTAAATGTAAGACGCATACGATTCTCATGTGTATAAAAATTAATTTCGTGCTAGGCTGGGAACCAGCAAGAAAACACATCTGATAAGCTCAAAGCTAAACCTTTTTGAGAAGTTAGCCAGTGTTATGAAAAATAGGGAAACGTATGTATGGCGGCCGATGTCGGCGTTGCCCTACACGATTTTTGAATGTGCCGAAAAAAACTATCCCATTGAGGAATGAGTACACAGCTAATTCTTGTTGTATATAGTTCGTTAAATAGCCTAAGTGTGAAGGAGTTGTATGCCATACTGATGTGGCGTCTGAAACTGTCTCCCATATTGGATTTAAAGTTTAATTTTTATGCCCTATTTGTTTACGAGTTTGAAGTTAATTTTCTGGTCTAATGGTAGAAATTTATTTTTCAATGTCGATTATGACCACTTCATACCGTTTCGGTGTCTCTTAGTAGCCGTCGAACTGATTCAAAGGAGTCCAACTTGTCACTAGCCCATGTTTTATAACCCTCCGAACATTTTCCCTGATTTTTGACGATTTTTCTTCCATGATGTTCCCATGACTTCTCCAGAGCTATCAAATTCCTTTACATGTCATTGTTCTCTATAAAGTGACCACCCTGTTAATAATAGAGGGAACTGGGGCATATTGATTCATGGGGCAACTAGATACACCCCCTCAACTGCTCACAAGATCGTTACAGGAAGAGTTTTCCCGAAAGTTGACTTTGGGAATGTTATAATTAATAAATATTATAACTATGATTGTAGAGGACGATTATTTCCTATCTCACATTATGGATTACCACAAGATATATGCTACCACCACGGAATTTATCCTTATTACAGTTGTGTGACTCTACATCAGATAATTTGAATCTAGGAGTTCTGATATGTGAACAAGAATCATCGGAAGAAGCAGATACTTTTAACTAAAATAGTATAGCTGACGATGTCATTGTTATAGTACGCTTTTTTATAGTAAGAGATCGGTTGTTCACTTTGTAGGTGAAGTTATACGAATTGATGATGGTGACTCTGATCTCGTCCGGTTTACGAACAGAAAACCTGGTAACTGTTTCCTTTTCCTGACGAAGAAAATAATGGTGGGGTTAAAGTGCCAGATATGACACAGTTGCCACAGCCAAAAATCCGACAAGGAACATCAAGAACACCAGGACGTCATGTATTTACTTGATTGTTTTAATTGCATTGCATTATTTGATTTCTTTAACATTCCTCATAAATGAATGGTGAGTAATTTAAAATTATTTAAATAAATATAAGGCCGATATATGTTTCATTTTGATTTTCGTCGTTTTGACATTCTTTATAAATAAATCGTGGGTAATTTGAATTTGAGTAAATAAATATAAAATGGTTTGCTAATTCATTTCTACGAAAAATACGCAATGGCAGCTATTTCCCGGCACTTCTCCCAAAGGTATCAAAGTGCCCGACGAGGTACATCAACTTACCCCGGAGGTTGGACACATTGATACAAATGACTTTTTTTTTAGCTTTTTTAATTACAAGCACAAATACTACAAAAACAGTGATTGTGCCAGTTAATTGTAGTGGTAATTGTAGTGTGCCTGTAAATATTGTAGCACACTACAATAGTTTTGCTGACATCATGTGGAAAAATAACTTGAAATTTCTGTTATCTAGGCAGCAAAAAATCTTAGAAAAACATATCAATGTGGCCCAGTTCACCCTATCCTGAAAGCGAGTGCGCGCAAACGTGTATCAGACACGTTTTATGGGACAACGATCAGATAGTTGTCATTAACGGGTTAAGTAGAATCGATGTTATTCACGACGAAAAAAAAGGTATCTACAACATTCTACATCCGCGTTTGCCCAGATGCAGTTACATGTTTCAAAATATAATTGACGTCTGTCTATAATCTTTATATTTAAATTAGTGAGCATTAATCGGTAGCTAATTTAAGCCATTAAGTGTTTTACCTGCTACTGCCTGAGCCGCCCCGGAGATGGTGAAGATGCTCTTGCGGCACAGCGCCTGCTTGCAGATGGCCAGGATGGAGGCCAGGGCGGACATGGAGGCGACGGCCAGGCCGGCGAACAGCAGCACCAAGGCGGCCTTCCAGCAGCCGGGGAAGATGTGCGAGGGCGTGGCCAGACCCTCGATGGCGAACGGGCCGCACAGCTCCTTGCCGGACACCCACGCGCAGCGGGTGTACACGCCGGCCGACGGGCTGTACGTCACGTTGCCTGCGACTAGACACGCAAATGAGACCGACGTCAGATGGAGAAATTTCGCAGTTTGAAGGAAGCAGAGGAGGAGGCTTTCGAATGCTCGAACATTAAAATCTTACGAAAGCTTCAATTACAAACCGAATTCAAAAACTCAGTATTCACATTTTTACTTTCTCGCTCTTTCTTTGTAAGAAGAACACATAATGTAATCGTGAGCCAGAAAACGGCGAAATTCGTCAGAAAAGATCCTATTACGGGGGTCCGGTAAAGAAAAGCGGATCAATCTTGTTCCTATATACACCATGCCATCAAAAGTATCCGGACACGTACAAAATGGTGTTATGATGTGGTCGTGTTTTTCGTGGAAGGGGCTTGCAGCCATTGTTGTTTTGTGTGGCACTATCACGGCACAGGCGTACCACATTGAAGATAATGATTATTTCTTGAATGAAATCTCTTCTTAAAGACAGATCTTGAAATAAGGTCATACACAATTTTTTCGAAAATATGAATAGCTTTCGCACAGTTGTGCGTGAAATTTAGGAAATTTTTACACTTTTACTCTCAAAAAAAAAAAAAAAAAAAAAAAAAAAAAAAAAAAAAAAAAAAAGGCTCCATTAAAAAAAATCCACGTATGTAATGAAGGACGTAACAAACGTCACGTGGAGCTAGTCTCATTAGATAGTAAACTCAGAATATTTTTTCGAAAATGCATCAAGTTAAGGTTTCAAAATGACAAAATTATAGATAGAAATTTTTGTCCCAAACAAAGTATGTTCAGAAATATTAGTTCTTTAAAAAATGTAAATTTTTTTGAAAAAAACGAGCAGTTTTCGAGTAATATGTTTGATATTAACGCAGTATATAAAAAATTCTTAGCATTTTCCCCCAACCAAAGACCTAAAAGAATGGCGCAGGGAACATTTTCGTTGAAAGCTGTGGTCCATTCAAGTCATAGGTTTCCTGTACTAATAACAACTCTTCATTCTGTCTTTATAATTCTTAAGCTTACGAATGTTTTATTTGTAACTTTATCATTCGCAACACTAACATTTATCACTTTCCGTGTTTAACTCTTATTTATAAGAATACTGTGTTAATTGATTCAATTGCAGCGAAACTATACAGGGATTCGAGAGTTCTTAGGCAATTCGTCACAGTAAGCGCTCCCTACTACAGTAAGCGTCTGTACTATTTGTTATATTAAACATGAAGGAATCAAACGATTCAAGATTCGATTGATTTGAGAAAATTTAGGAATCGAATTCTAGAAAATTTAGTATTCGCCTCAGATTTAAAAGTATTTTATGAGAATTGCTCTTTTCACGATTTTCATACGTCTCAACTACTCTATTTTTTAATTTTATATTTATTTTCCTGCTAGCATAACTCTGCGCAACATCCAAGACATTTAGGCAATTTTTCTCTAGAGCAACGCTAAATAATCTTTTTGCTCATTCGTATTTGTTTGGGAGACTCATGCTCCAGACCCTGCTTTCGACCTTGTAGAGCCCGCATCGTTACACACGAGCGAGCTTAGAGACGCAGACTCGCAGAGAGCAAACGGCACTCCAGTGTATGTCCCTGACATATCAGGGCTGCCTATGGGCAATACAAGAGCACACATTGAGGCGGTCGGACTCCACGTTTTGTCGCGACTTCATTAGCTTCGCTTTTTATAGAGGGATTCTCGCTGCGAGCGCGGAGCAGAGCAGTTTGCGGCCCGGTGCGCTCCGCGAACGGCGAAACTTCTCGCCCCGCGCTGGAAACGGTTCGGCCCCCAGGGACGCAGTCCTCAGTGTATTGTGTTCGTCTATGTTGTGAAGCGTCTTTCACTGATTCAGTGTTTATTGATTGTGTTCAGTGTTCGTGAAGTGTTACTACCCTCTAAAACAATGAACACCGAGTATCCGACATGCCCTGGCCTCGGCCAGAGCATTTCAGAAGCCTTGTCGGTGGTTAACAGCAACGCCGGATTCTTTGAATTACCGTTTGCCGGCCAATTCTCTATGTCTTTTCCAACTTCTGATCCCTCACAAGAAATGGAAAGTGAATCGGGCGGACTACTGTTCAAAGATATGGTAACCCAAATGGAGCCCTCCAGTGGTCCGCAAAAGACTAGCTGACCCTACCGCGAAGCTAACATCAAAAATTCAACAAAGAACAAAATATTCGCCTCAGCTACCCCCAAAAATAATGCTATGGCGGGGAAAATATATGGAAACAATTACAACGTAGATACTAGCAACAGATTTGAAGATTTGAACTCTCGCATACTGCAACGATAATACTTCTGAATCATTAGTGTGTACACCAACTATGTTCATTCGTAATGTCGATCATTACAAAATGTTAATTACGGACCTAAAAAGTGAAACTGGCTGTAAACATTTTACTGACAAATTCATTAACAAAAATACTGTAAAAATTAAAATTTGCAGTATTAAGGACTTGAGATGTACAATTAGTTTTTATAACGAAAAACGTATATATTTTCACTCGTTTCAAGATCCATCGACAAAACCCAAAGAAGTTGTAATTAGAGTTATATAATATTAATATATAGATGGGTGAAAATCAGAACGGTAAAACTTTTTTATTAATTCAGAAAAATCTGTGTAAGTCAATATTACTGTAAAGTTGTGGTGCTTTGTTTCGTCATTAAAACCATGGCATTTCAATTGTTCATTAAAAGCACGAAAATACATTGCCACTTACATATAGCTTAAAATAAACACGTTTTCTCAGAATTTATAAAATGCCACTTTCACCATTCTCGCTTTCACCCATTCGATTATAGAAATTAAAAAATAACAATACAAAAGAAGGGACATATAAATCCACCATAAGAGTACATAATCAGTATTCACCTTTTCTAGGATAACCGACCAGCCATGTGGGAGATGGTATAGAGGCGAGCATTCCAAGTACAGCTACTATGGACAGCAGCGACCATAGGAGGCTCCTGGCAGTCACAATCACGTAGCACATGGCGCCGCCTGTAAAAATACATCATTGTTAGATTGAAGAAAGCTAGTGTGACGTCATGGATACTCACAGCGACCACAGACACAGAGCTTTCATATAACAAATATATTTATTAACAAGAAAACGAAACAAATGTATACACTTAATAATCTACTTACACCCTAGCTCTGATAGACCTACTATCCCCTGATCGCGGGAGCGATCCAAACCCGATTGAAGATGGTTTTGATTGTGGCATTCGCCACTCCTACTTTTGAAGCGCGCACAAAGCCTAGCTTCCGTGACCGGATGTCACGCTGGGACACAAAGTCCGTTCTGGCGCACCAACGGCTGGTTTGCCTCGATCGCAGGAGCGATCTTATCCGATTGAGAATCGGCGTGAATCGTGGCACTCAACCACTCTTCACCTCGGAGCACGCACACAGCATCGCTCCCCCGTGACCGCAGTCACCCAAGGACCTAAAGTCCGCAGGCTTCGTCAACTAGTGACTCGAGCCTCGCGAGCCTGGCTCGCATATGCACCGTCGTGGCGCCAAGGTTTGTGCACACGCACGAGGTTCTCCCACTGTCTCCAGAACCCCCCCCACTGGCTCTGTACACTCTGTTATATAGGTGAGGCCCACGTGACCTACTACGTCACGCCACCCCCTCGCTTGTTATAACAGTGAAAAGTTTCTATAAGCCGGAAGACTCCCAAAGCCTTGTGTCTCCCGTTTCCGTGTTCTTCCCTTTACGGAAAAACCCTTCTTCCTGTGGCGAGGATAATCCTCTACCAAGCGTCCCCAAATAGATGCCATGAGGCACGCTGGCTAATACGTTACACTAGTAAGCGGAGAATTGTGATATGCGCTGGAAGGAGAGCTCCTACGACCTCTTAAGAAATGAAGTTGTGCGCGAAGCTATGTTTCACAGCAAACATAAGAAAAACGCTTCCATATTGCACATGTGTGCAACTTAGCAACTCGATATATTTTTGCGTGAGAGTTCTATGAATAATTACTATCATAATAGGTATAAGAGTGCATGCATGCACCTAAACATCTAAATAAAAACGCGCAAACATCTAAATAAAAATCGGTTGAGTTAACTCAAATTCAGCATTGACATTGTCTCTGAATACGTTCTGAGCGAGGTCTCTGGGTGAAAGCAACAACGGTGGCGTATTCTCGTCATTAGCTATACTGCTAAGTCGAATTCAGTCGCTGCCTGGATTCTGGTTGCCCTGATCGGTAGTTTTGGGTGGTTTCTCATATCAGTACAAGACGAACACCGGTTCAGTACTCAAGAAATGGAACACGGACCGCTGGTGATCTTACTTTTTTTATCCTCACCCCTTACTCTTGCTCTCTCTCTCTCTCTCTCTCTCTCTCTCTCTCTCTCTCTCACACACACACACACACACACACACACACATGTCGAAAGGGCAGTGGCGGCTTAGAGCTTGTCCTGGCTGGGGCTATGCTCCGCTGGGGGAGCTAATTGAAGGATGAAATACTTCGCAAAATGACAAGGTCGGCGCCGGATCTCACCATACAATGGGTGAGGAATGCCGCCATCTACTCTCATAAAACATTCACTATATTAATAGGACTAATGACCATAACAGTTGACGTGCCCATAAATATCAATCTTCTAAATGAAAAACAAAACCTCTTCGGTTATTCCACCACAATATACACAAACTGGCTTCATGAACTCGCAACTGGTTCCGTATCACCGGTCGGTGATTTTCTCGACCATGGGGGATCGTCCTAATGAGGTTGAAGATTAGCATTGTTCATTCTTAAGGATAAGAGTTTTTGAACATTGTGAGAATAGTGGGAACAGGAGATTGCGTGCGATCTGTGTTAAGGTACCTGCTCCGACATACCTAAGTTCCTCGAACACACCTATGGCACTGCAAATGAGGAAATAAGTGACTGTTTCCAGACGCGCTTAGCACGAGTAGGTGGATAATTGTGTGGCAAGACAGAATGAAACATCGAAACAAAAGTTCTCGGTTCTCAATATATTGATCTTGCCTTTTTGGTGAGGGATATCATCGCAATATATCAACATCCCTGTATTATCCATTTAATTTTTAATTAGTAAAAACTTACCATAACTGTTTATACATTACGAAATAATGCCCAGACGATGAAAAGCACTGACGAGGTACAGTCCAAAACCGTAGACTAGTTTCAATTAAAGACATCTTCATTTTGAAGCTCAACAAAGCATTGTATGTTTATTTGTTTCCAATCTTTGTTTGGCAATGAACCTTTTCCACGAAAGTGTTCACGACAGCCGTACATTCCGATTATCATAAAAAAACAACAACAAAAAAGTACGAGAGGGTTCAGTGTCCCCGCATAGAGTGAGGCTTCCTTTGGCCGCGGAGAGCCGGGAGGGCGCTTTATCTGATGAAGGAGCGAAGTGGCCACCAGCCGCCTCCGCCTCCGCCTCCGCCTCTCGCTTCGAAGCCCTCCGTGGCTCGCGCGCGATGGGCCCTTCGCGAGTTATCGCCTCGCAAGCAGCGGGCCCGCGTGAGTCACTGAGGGCGCCTCATGGGCTTGATGGGGTCTTGCCCTGGAGAGGGGCGGCCGAGCACACGGTGTGGCCGGACGCAAAAAAAAGCCACGCGATGAGGGAAGCTGAACTGGAACTAATGAAGTTTCCGGATCCTGGAGGGAAGAGCGTTACCCAGATCGAGTTGAAATAAAAATACAAACATTCATTTCCGTACAAATAAAAGAGGGGCGTGTTGTTAACACCAATTTGTGTTTATTTGTGGTACAAACACGCCGTGTTGATCTACTAAACGACTGGGTTAATTTTAGTCCACCTAACTTCACTGGGATCATTTCTTACTTATTAGGAACCTGAAACATGTTCTGCTATTAAATCAAAAGCCACTCTACGGCCGAGATACTTTAAAGACATGAGAGTAATCGTGGAAGACTTTTCTTGTGAAAACTATTTTGTCTAAAATTCTTTATGTTATATACGAAAATTCGTCATATAAATCTTTTTATATTGCTAAACATGGTTAAGATTAATAAACGTGACAAAAATATTATTCGTACCTGCTCCTATTCACACCAATCTGCTCCAATCTATTCACAGACATGGTTTTCATCCACCTTGAAGCGTTAAGAATGACCACACTATCCTGAAAAATGTACACTTCTTGTCCCTTACCAATAAAGAATTGCAACTAAAAACGCAGTGAGTTCTCACATATAATCTCCAATAAGGTATTTGAGGGCAAAAATATGCACTTTTAGTACCATTCCTAGTAAATCAGTTTAGCTACGACATTCACTAATTTTAATTAAACAAATTTGATATCCCTTTTTGGTTTTTTGAAACAAACTTGGATTGGTGGATTCAACATTTGCACTCCCTTGCCCTATAATCGAAGTAAAAAAATGCTTTAACGTACAACACGTGGCAGTGGAGGTTAATAGTATTTCTTTAATAGGGCTTCCGATTCTCTTGCAATTTTATACGATTAAAAATTAATTTAAACTCATTTATTTACGCCAACT